CCAGTCATCCCTGCCGATTCGGCAAACGCCTGCTTTGATGATGTGTCTCTAACCGCTACTCAATTTTGCTTTTGCTTGGGACATGCTTAATAACCTCACTCATTCAAAGCCCAGAGTATGGCGATTGCAGAGCTTCTTCTCGACCTCGAAGAAGCAGCGTTAACTGACATCACCTGAAGGATCTGCCAGCCACTGTTAAAGAAAGTGAATCTGGAGCCATGGGGCGGCAATGAGACCAGGGACAAGCTGAAGGCAGAAGATGGAAAGCCTCACCCCTTGCAGGTGGACCATTAGAACAGTGCAGGGTGCAGCAAAACCTGCAGTGCTGGGCTCAACACCTTGGCTCTCTGTTTATTGGCTTTCTTGCTTACAAGATAATTTACTGTTCAAGGTCATTAAGAGCTCTCTAATCTCAGCAGACTTGTTGGAATGTAACTTCCTTGGTGCTGAAGAGATGACTCAGCAGTTAAGAGCGCCTGGTTGCTCTTCCTGAGGACATGGGTTCAATTGCCTGTACCCACATGGAACTTTACAACCATCTGTAATGCAGTCGGGACCTGACACCCTCTCTCTGGCACTCATGTGCTGCTCAGACGTACATGCAGGCAAAATGTCCGTTCACATGAAATGAACTAAAATTAAAGGAAAATTTAAAAGATTTTATTAAAGGTTAAAAAAACATGAATCTGTGATTATTTCCATGGTCTTAAACACCCAACAGGAAAGTATGACCAAAAATGTAAAGTAATTCTGAGAGCTTTGATCAGTTCAAAGGGGGCAATCTTGGGTCGGAAGATGGCTCAGGGGTTAAGAGCACTGGCTGCTCTTGCAGAAGACCCGGGTTCAATTCCCAGCACCTACCTGGCAGCTCACAACTGTTTGTAACTCCAGTTTCAGGGAATCTGATGACCTCTTCTGAACTCCGAAGGCACTAGGTACATTTATAGACCACATACATGAACACATATGGTATGAAACACTCATACATACATACAAAGTAACAAAATAAATCCACAAGGGGGAAGGATGCAATCTGTCAAATTCCAATAAATTACTTATGTAATTATTAATAATTAATATTATTACTTAATGCATGTGTCCAGCATTAAGTCCTATGTCCCTGAAAGTACTCAAAATGAAAAGTAAAACAGGCTTTCTGGGAAGATCAACCAGTTGAAGACTCTGCCTTCTCTTGGAAAGGGATGCCAGAAGTCGAGTTTAGATACACCCCCTCCATGTAAGCAGTCACAGCCTCTTGTGAGCTCTCCTTGTGTCTCAGGATCTACTCGGGGCTGTCTTCAGATCCCATCATCTAAGTTGCATTTCCCCTTCTTTTCCTCTTAGCCAGCCATCTCACACCCCAAACCACTGCAAGACTTTTTCTTATTTCTCACTGTGTCCCTGGGTTGGCCTCAAACTCACTACGTAGACCAGGCTGGCCTGCCTTGGCCTCCCAAGTGTTGGGATTAAAAGTGGGCACCACCATTCCTGACATTATTTATTCTTTCACTCTAATGTCTTAAAAGATTTTTAACTCAGACACTTGTTTTTGCCATAATATTTCTTCCTCAGGGATTTGGGCCCAGTTCACTGGGGTATGGGGTGACAACTGCTCTGGCTACTTCCAGATGGAAAGTGGTATCAGCCAGATGGGTTCTGTCCTTGGGGTTCGTGCTAAGGAGAGGTGGGATGTATGATGTCCAGGGACAGGGACTGGGGGTGATCCTGCCCTTGTGTAAGGACATGGTCAAAGGCTGGCTTTCTGTAGTCAATGTTATTTTTAGGGCCTCGAATCTGGAAGACATGAACTGCAAATGAACGAAGATTAAAGACACAAAACACAATGAAAACACTAAGTGTTGTGTGGCGTGACGTCTTCTAGCGAGGCCCCATCTCGAATGATGACTGTCTGAGTTGCTTCTCTGTTGCTGTTACAACTACCCGAACAGAAGCAACTTGGGGAAGAAAGTGTTGACTCTGTCTTACACTGTCAAGTGCCCGTCCATCATGGAGGGAAGCCAGGGCAGGAACTCAAGGCAGGAGCTGAAGCAGAGACTGTGGAGGAATGCTACTTACTGACTTGTTTGCCATGGCTTGCTTTCTTATACTCCCCAGGACCATCTGCCCAAGACTGGCACTGCCCACAATGAGCTGGGTCTTCCCACATCAATTATTAATGAAGAAAATGAGTGAGGGGCTGGAGAGACAGCCCCGTGGTTTAAGAGCACTGGCTGTTCTTCCAGAGGACCTGGGTTCAGTTCCCAGCACCCACGTGGTGGCTCACAACAGCCTGAAACTCCGGTTCCAGAGGATCTGATGCCCTCTTCTGGTCCTCTGTAAGTCCCAGACTTGCACGTAGTATACAGCCACACATACAGGCAAACTAGCTATATGCATAAAATAAAAATAAACATAAAAATAATTTCATGTTAAAATTTTTTTGAGTACAGACATGCTGAAAAGTCAATCTGATGGGGGCAATTCCTCAACTGAGGTTCTCCCTAGAGTGTGTCGAGTGGACAAACACGAGAAACTGTCTCCACCTAACCATGGTTTTCTTTTCTTGTCAGTGACTGGCTTAGGGAAGAACACATCATCAGTTCCAGACAGGAGGATCTTAAAGGGAATTCTTGCAGAGGCTTCTAGGCGATGTCATTGCAGTCTTAAAGCTACTCACACTCATCCAGGGAGTTGGGTGGAGGGAGGAACTTCTTCCTGTAGACATTATGATGTCTGTGACTCTAAATGACTGAAGTCATCGTCATCAGTGACTTTGTCACAGTCATTTGTGACTGAGGGAGGCGAGCCTGAGAGGAAGGCCATCCAACAGAGGGAAGGGAGAGCAGCGTAAAGAAATACTTGGATATAGCTAGAGAGATGGCTCAGCAGTTAAGAACACTGCTGTTACTGTAGAGGCCCTGGGTTCGATTCCCAGTACACACCTGGCAGCTCACAACTGCCTGTAACTCCAGTCCCAGGGGAACCAGTTGACTTCTTCTGGCCCATATGGTTTCCTACACCCATTTGAATGACATATACATACATGTAAATAAAAACCAATCTTAAAGAAAAGAACCACCCTTTTGACAGTACTGACCTCTTCATGATAATCAATGTGCAATTCATTCTTCTATCTTTCCAATTCACAATATTGTAGCTTTAAAGAGATCATTTTTTTTAACATTTCATTTTAATTTTATGAGTGTCAATGTTTTTGCTTGCATGTCTGTCTGCACCGTGTGCATGCAATGCCCTTGTAGGACAGAAGCTGGCGTTGGATTCTCTAGTACAGTGGTTCTCAGCCTTCCTAATGCTGCAACCCTTTAACACAGTCCTCATGTTGTGCTGACCCAATCATAAAATTATTTTTGTTGCTACTTCATAACTGTACTTTTTCTACTGTTATGAATCATAATGTAAATATCTGACATTTGACCCCTGTGAAGGGGTCATTCGACCCCACAAAGGGGTTGCGACCCACAGGTTGAGAGTCACTGTCTAGAACTTGATTTACAAATGGTTGTGAGCCGGCACATAGGTGCTGAGAATCTCACTCAGGTCTACTGGAAGAGCAGCCAGTGCTCTTAACTACCGAGCCATGCCTACAGCCTCCCTCAAAGATGTATTTTTATTATTTTAAGTTATGAGTATGTGTGAGCACATGGGTGTGAGTGCAGGTGTCCCCCTGGAGGCCAGGGGCTTTGAATCCTTCTGGAGCTGGAGTCACAGGCAGTTGTAAACCAGCTGGTGTGGCGGCTGGGAACCAAGGTCCTCTGGAAGAGCAGCCAGTGCCCCTAACTGCTGAGACATCTCTCCAGCCCCCAGTGTTGTAGCTTTTATGACATTTGGGGATATCTGAGGTGGATTTTTTCTGGTAGCAAAAGCATCCTGTGATCCCCGGATGAAGTTGGGACAGTAGAGCCAAGTGACAGGACTTGCCTGCAGCGAGTCCTCAGTCTGTATAGCCCTGCTGGTCTAGTGATAGTCCTCGGATGGGTAGCCCCTGGGACCTCCATATGGAGTCTGTGGCAGGCCTCACAGACCACAGCTGAGGTCCCCACTGTTGAAGCAAATCCACGGCCTGGCTGATTACGACACGTGATTATTTTTATAAGGAAACTTGTTCTAGCCTTGTGTCTAGGTCCTGGGGACACTCAAGCCATGGTGCCCACACTACCCTCTATGCCTTGTCTGAGCCACTTAGCAATGAAGCTGCCTACCAGACTGTAGCCATTCCTGAAAACACAACAGGTAGTAGGAATGAGTTACTCATACCCACTCCATTCCAGTCCAACAACTGGCCTCAGAGCACCGCAGAAAACCCTAGTAAGGAGAGCTGGGCTTCCGACAGGTGGCCGGGACAACACCTAGTGAGGCTGGGGTGCTGGCATTCAGGGTACATTAAGTGCTCTGAGTCACAAAGCAATGACTACATGGTGGCAGCTGCTTCTGTAATTAGAGTAGATAGGTATGGAGACAAAGGGACAGAAGAGGGACATCACCTTTCATGATTAAGCCTAATGACTTACTCACCAATGAGTGCTCTCATCTCCATCACTTGGGGCTCATTAGCTTGGGAAGCAGGGAGGGCTGCCTGCCTCTAGAAAAAGACGGTGCAGTGTTTTCCCTACTGGCTATTTTGAGTTTTTTTTTTTTAAATTTTAAATTTTATTTTATTTTTTGTTTTTCCAGACAGGGTTTCTCTGTAGCTTTGGAGCCTATACCGGCACTCTGGAGACCAGGCTGGCCTTGAACTCACAGAGATCCGCCTGCCTCTGCCTCTTGAGTGCTGGGATTAAAGGCGTGCGCCACCAACGCCCGGCTTAGTTTTTATTTTTTTAAGAGGGTTTTTTTGTTGTTGTTGTTTTTCAAGACAGGGTTTCTCTGTGTAGCTTTGGCTGTCCTGGAACTCGTTCTGGCAGACCAGGCTGACCTTGAACTCACAGAGATCTGCCTGCCTCTGCCTCCTGAGTGCTGGGATTAAGCATGTCACCACCATCGACAGGCTTTATTTTTGTTTTTATTTACATATATATGAAGGTTTGTGCACACACACATGCACATAGTAGCTAGACAGGGGTGTGCGATCCCACCCCCTTCTGGAACTGGAGTTTCAGGCAGTTTTGAGGCACCCAACAGGAGTGGTGAGACTGAAGTCATGTCCTCGGGAAGAGCAATCATTGCTCCTAACTGCTGAGCCTTCTCTCCAGCCCCATTGTTGAATCCTGTATCACAAGATAATGGTGAGAAAGGGTCCCAGTGTTGACGAGGGTGACAGATACTGGCTAATCTTGTCCATTAGGAAGAAAGAAGGTTGCTGTTTCACAGTGTGGGGGGGTGTCTTAGCCGACTCGGCTGCTGTTGACTCTGGTCTTACTCTATGATGGCCAGTTGAAAAAGCTAATGGAACACTCCTGTACCCTGCAAGGACAGAGTTGCCCAAAGCTAATAATACTATTATTATTGTAGACAGGGTTTCTCTGTGTAACTCTGGCCAACCTGGAACTCGATCTGTAGACCAAGCTGACCTTGAACTCATAGAGATCCACCTGCCTCTGCCTCCCCAGTGCTGGGGTTAAAGTCACTACCACTGCTTGGCCTGCTTTGATCCTTTTTTTAGTAATTTATTTAACTTCGTTGTATTTGCTTGGTATGGAGGTGTCAGATCCCCTGAAACTGGAATTACAGACAGTTGTGAGCTGCCATGTGGATGCTGGGAATTGATCCTCTGGAAGAGCAGTCAGTGCTCTTAACCTCTGAGCCATCTCTCCAGGCCCTGCTTTGATTCTTAAAAACACGTATAAGTGGGGTGCTGAGATGGCTCAGTGAGTAAAGGAACTTGCTATCAAGGCCTGAAGACTTAAACCCTTAGAACTCACACTGTAGGAGATAACCAGCTCCTCCTACATGTTGCTCTCCGGCCTCCACCCTGGGCACTGTGGTATGAGTGTGCTACATAAATACAAATAAAAAAAAAATTCCAAACATGAAGTAAAACTGTAGAATGGACTTAGAATATATATTAGGGGAGCTCAACAGAGTCTCAAAAGGAAAAAAAGCATTTGCTTTCCCTAGTATTCTGATCCGAGCCTTTAGCATCTATGTTCATATGTAAACAAGGGTACATGTGTGAACAGGATGACATGCAGAAAGGAGAATGAGAGACCTTAGGTGACGAGGAAGGACAATGAAGACAAAAGACAGGTGTCATAAAGGCGACCACAGAGAACTGTTTTTCTAGTTTCAGCTCTCATTTATCTCTTTCCTGTGGGGATACATGAATTAAATATAAATTAAATACGTGATGGTTACAAGTGTCAAGTCCACTATACTGCGCCACAGCTTCAGAATGACGATTCTAGCCTTCGAGAAGTCCACCATCTCAGCGAGCTGCAGGCCTGCTTGATTTTGGGGTGTATGTATGTAATTACACGTTCTTCAAAATCAAGTTTTTTGCTTTGTTTAGTTGAGACAGGCTCTCTCACAGTGAGAGAGCCTTGAACTTGCTATGTAGACCAAGATGGCCTTCGACTCACAGAGTTCTGCCTCCCGAGTGCTAGGATTAAAGGTGTGTGTGTTGGGCTCACAATAGTTTTAATACAAAAGAAAAATTAAAACAAAAACAAACACTTGAGAGTCGAAGGCAGAGTCCTTGTTTGCTTTGTTGAACTTAACTGCGGCACTGTTTAATGGACAGGCCAGGGACTGATGAGTTCAAATTCTTTAAAATAGCTAAAGATTAAAGGGAATTAAATTTAGTGCCTCTGGGATGTCTGATCCAAATTTGTTTTTAATGACATAATTGTTGCATGTTACATCTGAGATTACACCCCAGAGAACTGGTTATGTGTGAGGTTATGCTACAGGAAACCAATTTCCCATGTCAAAGGCAAATAAGGGCGACTGTAATGTCACCACTTTAAACATGGGGTGAGTGAGGTCTTATGGAAATGAACAAGGGAAGGCCGGAGATTGCATGATTAGGCTGCTGTGTGTTTTCGACAGCACTTAAATCACTGCATGTGCAAACTGGGATAGCTTCTTAGGTATTTATTTGTTCATTTTAGGGGGAAACGATCCCTCCCAATCCTGCAAAGGAGGTCTTGATAAATAAGCTCAGGGATGTCGTTCAAGAAACAAGTGCAGGACATACACAGGCATGGAAGATGAGAAAGAAACGCTTCTTATATGTTTATATTTCAGATTGTAGAAGAACAAGACATGAAATTCCTGTTTCTGTTCCTCGAGGTTTTTTGAAAACCTAAAGTAATTGCAAAATTCTCTTCCCCCAGGGCTTTCCCCTCCACAATTAATCTTTCCACACACACCCCCATGAGGATTCCCCCAAGCTTTAGAACACTCAACTAATTCACAGCACCTCAGCTTCAGAACTTTAAAACACTGCTCTGCTCTTGCTCAGCCCAAGCCATGCCCTTCCCTTCTTAAAAATTGGCTATTTTTGCAGTACCCATCTATCGAGAAAGGACCCCTGTAACGAAAACTAACTGCCTTGGTTTACTGGGCTGGTAAACTCTGAATCATTTACTTAGGGTGCTGAACACCTATACTTCCATCTTTGGACCCTAAGAGTTTATTCTCTATCCTTCCAACGGTATCACCCGTGCCCTGGGTATCAGAGCCAAGCAAGCAATTGTGAAAGTCTCTTCAACCGTGCGAGCGAGCGGAGGCAACGCTTTCAAAATATGTCATTCATCTTCATACTCGGTGGCAGCTTATCCATATACCCTGTATAAGCACCATTAAGTATCGGTGTTTAAGACCTCCGTCATGAGAGGTAAGCTTTCAAATTTATAGGCACAAGGGGGTTGGCAAAGGGACCCTTTTCTCCTACTTATTTTTCTTTTATTGGAACAAAAGCCAGTTTGGGTACACCTCCAAGTCTGAAGTTGCTATTTGTCAGGCAGGCGTCTTTTAGAAAGCCGCGTAGTGCATTCAATTAACCGACTCCTGGACGAATCAGAATCGGGGAGAAAAGTATTTCCCATGCCTAGAGTGTCACACGGAACTAGGAAGCTCGCTTAAGCAGACTGTCAAACTTTTATGTTTGCTTGAAAAAACAAAAACAAAACCAACAACAACAAGCCACACAGATGGAAGAGTCGGGTCTGTTGCAGCAGCCGTGTGAGGAACAGGAGGCTCACCTGGACACACAACAGACGCGGGTCTTCCCCGGGCTGTCCTCACTGGGGGAGGGGAGGGGTGGACACCGCTAGACCTTTGTCCCGGGGGCCTGGGGAGGGACGACT